TAATGAAATATATAACGAAAGTAAAACTTACGCTCTGCATTGGATTGAATATTGATATTCAATCGTCCACTACCGTCAGTGGAAGCGACTGTGACGATACCTTCTGTGCTCGATTGGAATTGGTCGAGTACACTGAATGACTCTAGATGCATGGTGTTGTCGTTGGTGACGGTGAATTGTTGGCTGATGCATTGCCCAGACTGGCTAGCCCTTGGATACGCTGAGATCTCATGCCATGTACCTGCGAACTGAAATATAGGTACTTAGTTAAGCACGACTGTTCCGTTAACCGGTATGTAAAAATTTTTCATGACGATAAAACGAATCTCACTTCGTTTATGTCGAAGTTCGGTACCGCTGCAATACTATCGTCGCACTGTCCAGGGAACACCACTGGCACTCCTGGTTGTGGTTCAGGGAAGTAGAAACAGCCATCAGGGCCTTGGTCACGTTTTACGAAATATCTTTGATCCAAAACTTTTATGTCGTTCATGGCGTTGCTAATAGCAGTCTCATCTGCAGCTTCTAAAACCTTTTCTCTGCTCAGTTTCCAAGAAGAAACTGAAAATGAAGAGAAAAATGATTTATCATAACAACTCGATTTGTGTCAAATGATCATTTACAAAAGTTCAGGATAGAAGTAGTTTACCTCTCATGTAGTCATCATCAATATTGGCACAAGAGTAGACCAACGCATATGATTCGTAGTTGGTGGATAGCACCCAGTAATCTGTAGTAGTAACTGTAACAGCACACAAACAAAAGAAGTGACATTAATGTATATTAATAATTAAATTTGAGCAATGAGTTGTACTACTTGGATACTTACCTTCGGTATTTTGTACATTGAATGTAACTTTAAGTTTTCCACTTCCATCTGTAGATGCTAGTGTAGCAACTCCATCGATAGTCACTAAGGTCTGGTCAACAACGTGACTATTGCGCACAGAAACAGTGTTGCCGGTCAAAGTGTAATGTGCGTTGGGGCATGTGCCGTCTTGGAATGCCGATGGATAAGATTCGACGTCGTACCATAAATTCATATACTAAAACAGATAAATAGGATATTCCAATTTGATTCGCAATTAGATAATATAATTTATACATAATTATTAAAATTTGTATGGACGTGTAGTTATCAAAGCCGTTTACAAGTTACAGTAAATTACCTTGTTGAGATCAAAATCTTTAACAGATTCGATAGTCTGGTCACACTGACCACGGAAAATGACGTTAGAGTTTGGGTTGACTTCTGGGAAATAGAAACAAGCCTCAGGTCTGCGGTCTACTGAATAGTAGTAAGGCTGGTGCAATACTTCGATTTCTTCAATTACTTTGTTTATTGCATTGATTGCATCCGTGGTCAAGGTATTATAGCGACTGAATTTCCAGCTTGTGACTGAAAGAAAGTAAAAGTACATATGTTTATATTAAAACTTTGTGAGGCATATTAATTTATTAATATGTTTTTGGTTTACGTGAGTAATCCGAAAACATATTAATTAATTAAAAATATAAATGTTTTAGTATGTCAAAATCTGAATACCTACTGTACATTGTACGTTTTAAACAATATGGGGTTAATAATATCAGGGTGTAGAGTAATTTTATTTTACTCGTAATTTATTTAATAGTTGTAAGAAAATCTAAATTTGTATAGAGCTCACCTCTTCTCTGGTCATTGTTTATGTTTTCACAGCCATATGTCAGTGCATATGATTTGTAATCGGTTGCCAATACCAACATAACATACTCTCGATTTCCTAGAAAAAATAGAAGTTTAGTTTCAACCAACGTTTACTTCGAAACTTGATTTAGAAGATTTTAAAAACCATAATATATGTGATTTCAAGCTTAAACAATGTAATATCATAGTAATCATGTCATCGGAAAGGAACAAGAATCACTGGAAAATATGATTCTAAATGAAAGATAAAATATGTTAATAAAACAAACTCTAATATTTGTTTGTTTGTACCTGGGTCTCGTCCTCGACAGTCGGTGGAACTTCGTGGAACATATCCGACATTTGGCTTCTAATTTCGAGAGGACGAGGGCGGCGCTTAAGCGCCTCCTACCCAACATCGGGGGTCAAACATCTCCTGCCGGAGGTTATACGCCAGGGTCGTGCGGTCCATGACCCTCTACGGCGCCCATGTGTGGGCGCCGAACCTGATGCGGCGGCCCTCTCGGGCGCTGCTCACGTCACAGAGGGTCATGGTGATTCGAATGATCCGCGGATACCACACGATCGCCGAGGAGGCGGCGAACCTCCTTGCCGAATAACCGCCGTGAGATCTGGAGGCGAAGGTGCTTGCGCGCGTGTTCTATCTGCTAGCGGAGGCACGTCGCCGGGGCGAAACTCCGCTGTCGCGCCAGATAAGTGCGTAGCGGGAAGAGCTCCGCCGCGATCTTATGGCGGAATGGCAGCAACCACTGTCGCAACCGAGGGCTGGGCTCACTCGCTTGAGGAGTGGCTTGAGAGAAGCTACGGCGTCCTCACCTACCGCCTAACGCAGGGCGAGAAGTAACACCCGGGTGTCATCACTGCGAGGACCGCCCTAAGGACACGGTGGAACACACAGTAGGAGAATGCTTGGGCTAAACACCGCCGTGCCCTCAGGGACGTGATCGGCGATAGCGACATCTCGCGTCCGGCCCTATTGCGGGTCATGATGTGGAGCGAGGGGGACTGGGATGCCGTCTCCTCCTTTTGCGAAGCAGTCATGCTAGCTAAGGAGGAGGCAGCAAAGCACTGCCTCCTCGCAACCCAGCCATCGCGAAGGACACTCCTGGCGTCGGGGATCGCAGAACGATTTACGGCCACCGTAAGCGCGGGCCTGCGGATGGCGAGCATGGGTGGCTCCCCGTCCGACCAGAATCAGACCCGAACGTATGGCGCGTCGCGTTCTGCGCGCGCCTCAAAGAGCCATCAGGCCACCACGATCGATATGGAGCCACGGAGGACCTACCGAGTTACCGGGGCTCCGGCTCGAAGAGCAGAAGTAGTAACGGGGTGGATTTTAGTCAGTAAGAGTCCGACACTCCCTCCCGCCTCGCCCAGGCGGGAGAAGTAACTCAATGATTTTCCCCCTTACAAAAAAAATATTTGTTTGTTTGAACGCTCTAATCTCCTGAACAGCAGGTCCGATTTGAATGATCCTTTCTAAGGTGGATAGGGCATTTATCGAGGAAAGCTATAGGCTATTTAACATCATGCTGCAATCTAAATGCTCTGAATCGATTTTGATGAATTCTGACGGAATGCGAGCAAAATCGCGGACAATAGCCGGTTTAATATATTTCCCGTAACATAAAATAAATTTTAAAGACACTATGCACAGTTACCGAGGATTTGAAAACTTACGGATAAAACAAAAAATCTATATATAAGATGACTAAAAAGTACTTACTTATATTAAATGTAAGTTGTCCGGTTCCATCTGTACTAGAAATAGTGGCAGCCCCAGAAATAGTGGTCAGAACCTCGTTGACAACCTGTGAGTTTGTGATGCCGAGAGTGTTGCTTGATTGCAATATGTATTCAGCTACGTTGCAAGTGCCACTTTGGTATCGAGATCCGTAGCTCTCAATGAGGCGCCACTGGCCGGCATACTGCAATGATCGTTATCAGTATAGAAAAAG